AGATGCAAAAACAGAAGCATAGGAGTTTTTCAAGTAAATTTTTTTTCCAGTTAGTTTGAAGTGAATGATTTTTTTTTTTTAACAAACACGCTAGTATTTCTAACAGTTTTTTTTATTTAATACTTTGATTGTGGGGTGATGAACAGGCAACGTTGCGAAAAAAAAGATGTTACTGTATTCTTTGTTGATGAGTTTGGACCAAAAATATGTCGATAATTCTCGATCCAAATTTTAATTGTGAATTCGTTTTTCTGTTGATCAATCCTGTGTAATATAACCAATGTATAATTCATCTGAAAAAAAATGTGAAATCAAAAAAAAAAAAAAAAAAACAAAACAATCGAACCATTAAGTGATCCTCATCATCATCATCATCATCGATTGATTGATTGATTGATGAAATTGTAAACATCGTTTTTTTGTTATCTCTGTTTTACAACCAATCAAATACTAATACATAATAATGGCCATGGATCATTCATAATAATGATCAATGGTATGTTTTTTGTTTTTTGTTTTTAATCATCGATATCGATCTTGTATTTTTATGAATTAATGAATATATTAATAATGAACAATTTGAATTCATTCATTTTTTATCACAAAAATATGATTACTATTATCCATGATCAATGTGGATAAACATTAAATGTTTGTGTGTGTGTGTGTGTGAGTTTCTCTCCTGTAAATTGTCATTGTCTTGCATTATTAGTACCAATGATTCGATGATTCTTTCAATCGATTAATTGGTAATGTGCGCACACACACACACACACACATGCAACAGCAATCAGAATAATTAATCCACATTATAATTATAATCATCATCATCATCATTATAATCGATAATCATCGTTTTGTTTTTGAATTGTTTTATTTAAAAATAAAAAAAATTCACCTGACATTATTATTGATATATCGATGGCTATGAATTGGCTATGAATATCATAAATGTTCAATTGAATAATAATGAAACAAACAAAATATATATCCTTTTTAAACATGAGCTCTAACAACAACAACAACAACAACAATCAAGTAATGTGTTATTAACATTTTAGATGATGATGATGATGATGGAATGAAATTTTCTTTCATTTACAATCACAAAATGTCCACATCACACTGTGTGTGTGTGTGTGTGTGTGTGCTTAGCCAAAAAATTTTCAGGTGAGACACCTTTTTTTTCTGCTATGTATATATACAGGCATTCAGAAAAGCATTGAGATTGAGAGAGTTCAATCAACAACAACAACAACAACAACAACCACTTGAAATGAAATGAAAGTCACGATTGTGTTTTTTTTTTGATTTTAAAAGAAAAAAAAATGAAGGATTTTTTTTTTTTTTTTTTGCTTGATTAATAAAGATCATTGTGCGTGTGTATGAGTGTGTGTGTGTGTCCAATAAGTGTTTATTTTGTTTTATTTTCAATTTTGATTCTGTGTCCACTACCATCATCATCATCATCATCATCATCACCACATTATCATGATGATAATGATAATTCAGCTCAATTCTAATCAAGTATAGATCCCTCTATCATATATATGTGATTGGCCCCTTTTTTTCCTGAAAAAAAAAAATCATCTTATTAGATGGATCTAATAAGATGATTATAATGATGATGATGATGATGATGATAATGATGGGCACCTATGATGTTCATTTGATTTTGTTTTAAAAATTGAATTGATTAAAAAAATTTTTCTTGTTCAAATTACAAATTATTATTATTATTATTATTAAAAACCAAGTCAGTGATTTTGTCAGTGTCAGTGTGATGATGATGATGATGATGGAAATTAACTTTTTTTTTTTTTTGTTTTCGTTAGAATGAAATTAAAACATAGAAATGGAGATTTATTGAAACATATCAACAACAACAACAACAACAACAACCTTGTTGTTGTTGTTGTCCAAATCATAATACACTGGCCATTATCATTATAATCATCGAAAAAAAAAATTTTTTTTTTGTCTGAAAATGATGATGATGATGATGGAGGCATTGTGTGTGTGTGTGTGTGTTTTCATTTGTAATTCCTGATTGAAATTATATTCATCATTAATTCAGGCAGTTTTTTTTTGCGATTGTACGTTTGTGATTGTATTATATTGACAAAAAAAAAGTTGTTGTTTGGCCAACAAAAAAAAAATATGTCCACGATTGATTGACGAACAACAACAACAACAACAAAGGCAATGAAAGCCATAATCATCAATAATTTATCATCATGAAATTTTACTACTACAACTACTACTACAATGTTATATTGTTAATTTTTTAATTAATTTTTTTTTTCGTTTGAAAATTAAACTACGTCCACCTCCACTACGTAAATTAACCAATTACAAGCCACACATATTTAACACAAAATGATGATGATGACATTTAATATTTAATGATTAGCCAATCACAGCCAAGTTGTTGTTGTTGTTGTTGTTTATGTCATTATTTGTATTCTGTCACCATTTGTGTGTGTATAGCATGGTGTAGACATTAACATTTTTGCCCAACCCGAAAAAAATGATGATGATGATGATGATAATTTTCACATAATAATAATCAACCACAACATCAATGTATTGTTGAGACAATATAAAAAGATATTTTATTTTATCTGTATGTATGTATGTTTGGTTTGTCAAGCCCATATTTTTTTTTCCTTTTTCTTTTCACTGGTTATAGTTCTTCTATAGTTTTTTTTTGCTGGTTGATTGGTTGTCACCAAACAAAAAAAATATTGCTATATCTAAAGCTAAATTTTTGTTTCCACAAACAAAACGGGCGACAAACGAAAAGAGGATTGGCCTGGCGACATTCAATGCATACAAATATAGAAACAGATAGAAATAGCATATATAACGCGAAAAAAAGAAAAAAAAAAAAAAATTATTCAACGATGACGAAACATAAAATCTACGGCGACTCTATGTCTCTGTATTTCTACCAGAAAACCAACGAATGAAATAAAATGTCCTCTATGTTATAAATGTGTATGTGTGTGTGTGTGTATGTTGATTCACTGGTTGGCCATCATTATTATCATCATCGTCATATAGAGGGTGGAATTTTTTTTTCTTCTTTATTTCCTAATTCAAGAAAAAGAAAGAATAAAATTCTGCAAAGCTATATAGAGTGTGACATAATACAGAATGTGATTGTGTTGTTTGTAGCACATGATCATTATTCATATCGTCATCAAAAAAATGGAGTAAAATGAAAAAAAATATTTTCACTTTAACAAAAAAAAAAAAAAAAAATAGATGATGACCTGAACCCATCACATCTACAATTGAAGCCTTCTTTTCTCTTGTGTTATATATCTTTATATCCAAACAAATATAGAATCTATGCGCATTCTCGCTATATACACACAGATGTCTTTGAAATAGCAGCAATTAACTTAACAATTTTTTCGATTTTTTTTTTTTTGGTTTGCAGAATGACAAACATTCCACACACACACACACACATTTTCTGTTTGACTGTATAGTGTGTGTGTGTGTGTGTGTGTATGGTACCAAGTATAAAGCCATTGTATATTCTTGTTGCACTGAATTCTGAACAATACCAGAATCCATAATGATGATGATGGCGTGAGTTGACGACGAATATATGTGTTTGTGTGTGTGTGTGTGTGTATGGAGGATACTTATATTTTCAACCAAATAATAGATAACAACAACAACAGCAACGACGACGAAGACGACGACGACGAATACGGGTGGCGACAAAAGTTTCTTGAACGAAAAAAAAAAATTCAGTTTATTAGGCGTGTGTGTGTGTGTGTGCGCGCGCTTTAATTATACGGGCGACAAACTTTTTTTTTGTGTTCGCGTATACCACACATATATACAAAAAAAACTGAATAGAAAATAAAAACGACAACAACGAATGTGACTTACAAGTATTATATTTTGTCACACTTTTAGCAATTGTATATGTTGTGTGTGTGTGTGTGTGTGGAGTAAAGAATGTGTCCAAAAAAAAGGTGTGTTTGCATCCTTCTTGGCCACTCCTTTTTGTTTCCAATGTATATTTGTGTCTTATTGCCATCGTCATCGTCATCATCATCATCTATTTCTATGCATCATGATGATGATGATATGAAAGAAGTAAAGCATTATTATTATATGAGCAAAGACTTTAAATGTGAAAAAAGATGTGATAGAGACACTCAAACTATGTGTGTGTATGTGTGTCTTTATCATTGGGCAGAATTTGAAACAGGAAAAAAAGTCACAAACACAAATACACACTCACACACACACACACACACACACAAACGAACATTGTGTAGGCTAACCATATCAATATCAAACGAACATGATCAGAATGTGTCAAAGAATAATCCAGAACCATATTGGAGTTAGAGCCATATTCTTCGACCACAATAAATTCTTTTCACTGATGATGATGATGATGATGATCATACTTGATTAAGTTTTTTTAATGTTTGATTCTATTTTTTTCCATTCTTTATAAGGAATATTATGAAAACGGAAACTTCAAAACCGGAAGTAGATTCGACTAAGAAGACGACGAATAAAAATTCCGTTTCAATGTCTACCAATTTTATATCACCAATATCGATGATTTTGCAAAATCATCATCATTCTTTGGGTGTTACAAACCAAGAACTTTGTTCACCACCACCACAAGCACCACAATCAATAACATCAACATTATCATCAATAACACCATTAGTGCCATCGAATCATCATCATTCAGTGAATATTCTATCAGGACAACAAACAATACCACTACTTTCATCACCATCATCGTCATCATCATCTTCAGGAATTGTTTCTATTCCGGCTTTAGCGGCACATCATCATCACTATCAACACCAGGCGTCATCGCCAGCATCTAAACAACAAACATCTTTAGCTTCGACAACAACAAAAACAACGGCAGCAAACATAACTAGTTTGAATAATAATGTTCGACTACCTCCGCCTACATCATCATCACTATCATCATCATCATCATTATCATCAAACACTTCTTCGATTACAAACAACCACAACAACAACATCAATAATCAAACGATTCTGTCATCAACATCTTTAGGTAAAGATACTAATCATAATCATCGTCGTAATAGTATAGTGTCTGAATCATTACATCAACGTATCAGTAATCATAATCTAAATAATAACGCCGGACAACGCCCACCACCACCACCACCAATACCACCATTTTCATCCACATTATTATCACCATCAACATTTTTAGATAATTTATTATCAAACTTTACAAATGCTTCTTTACCAATGTCAATAGAATTGGCGCCATTAGCATTAGCAGCTATACAACAACAACAACAACAACAAAACAATCATCATCATCATCATTCACAACATAATCAACAATTACACCGTGATCTAATGCAACATTTACTTCCGTTTGCAGCATCTAATTGTACACCCATACAACCACCATCATCATCATCATCATTGCCGCCACTTCCACTTCCAATTCGTACATCATCATCGTCATATTTTCCATCTTCATTGAACAACGGCAATATCAATAATAAACCATTATTGATGCGTTCACCAATGGATCTGGTAAGTGAAAATCATTATCGTTAACAAATGTGTTTAACACTTTAAACAACATGTTTCGGTCATTTTTTTCTGTTTATATGTTGTGTTTGTATAGAAAAATTATCTAGTTCATTTATGAAAAGTCTATGTAAACACACACACAACTATGTGTCAAAAAAGGTCATAGTTTCTTGATCATATTGATTGACATCATGTGTCAAACACACACACACACACACACAAACACATGCATATGTTGTGGCAATTAATTATAATATAAACTTGTGTTCTACAACTAACTAACTGAAAGATTTTGGGTGATTGGCCCAAATCATTTGTTACCCATTAAACAATCCGAATCTAATTTTTTTCTTTGATTCAAAAGAAATGGGGAAAAAAATCATTCATTAACAAGTTGACTGATGTTGTTTTTCATTTTGATTATATGGACCCGAAATGGTGCCAAATGTTTATATGTGCACCCTCCTTCTTTACATTACCCCCACTGTCAAAAAAAAAAAATTTTCATTCAATTGAATGACCTATACACAATACACACAGATGGTCAATACCACACCATTTGATGATGTTTAAATAGACAATCATCGATGATGATGATGATGATGATGATCAACTAAATGAATGAATGATTAATAGGTTTTTGAGGGTGGGCATTTTTTGTTTTGTTTAAAATCGGTCAAATTTTGATAACAAATTTTTTTTTGTAACAAAATTTGTAACAAAAAAAAATTCTTCAAAAACAATTCAAACAATGTCGTACTACGGTAAGCGAGTAAGTACACCAAAAAAAAAAAAAATCCATTGTAATTGTTTGTCTGATGGATTTTCTATTCCGTTTTCATTTATTTCTCATCACTGATCGATTCTCGATTGAATTAATGTTGTATACATTGAAAATTTACAAAAGCCTGATCCCCTGATCTTATTTGTTGTTGTTGTTGTGGTGTGGTTGTTGTCCAATCAACCAAATTCCTAAACCTAAAATGGCACAAATAATGGCCATCTTCATCAATTGTCATTGTTCATCTTTCTGGATGATTATGATTATGATTATGATCGTCAACATCATCATGGTCTAGCGACGTCGATATTCAAGTAGTCTCTATATATGAATGAGTATGTGTGTGTGTTTGTATATTGAAGAATACATCAACAAGCTGCTTCTGGTTATCGGTATTTTTTTTTATTGTTTACTTGTGATTATTACCAATGAATGGAAATGGGAAAAAAAGCAGAAGAAGAAGAAGAAAATGTACAAAATTCAACATATTGAATTCATTGATTGTCATTTGTAAATTTGATCAGAAAAAAAATTGTAGTTTTCTCTAAGAACTTTGCTTTTTCTTTTTTTCTTTTCTTTATCTCTTCAAAATGTAATTAGAATAGACAAATAGAGTAATCAATTTGTACAATTTTTTTCTCTGAGAAAAAAAATAAAGAAAGAATTTCAGTCAAAAAGTCAAATATGGTTATCATCGAGAAAAATAAAATGTTTCGAACCCATAATGTGGTATGTGGGTCTTTCTGATTTTTTTTCAGGGTGGTTGCCCATCATCATCATCATTATCATCATCATCATCATCATCGATTTTCGATACTTGACGATCACTTTGGTGTATGATTGAGCAGTGTGTGTTGTTGGTCACACTTGATCGCGTACTTGGTTGTCATCAAATTCAATCAATTTTTTGGTGACCAAAAAAAAACTTTGAACAACAAGCCAAAATTATTATTATTATTGGTGGTGGTGGTCAATTTTCGATCATTTTGTTCACAGAACAAAAAAAACCACCACCACCAATATTTATTTATTCATTCGAATTTTTTCGTTTTTTTTTTGTTTCGATTGGCCGAACAACTACAATATTGAAGCAATTACAATATTTGTCAATGTCAAAATGTAGTTGTTTACCTTTTTTCTCTCTCTCTCTGTCTTTATTTATAATAGCGATCGCTATGTGCCATCATCTGATGATGATGATTGAACTCAAAAAAACATTACCATTTGGATTACCTGATTTTTTTTTTGTTTTCTATTTTTTTTTCTACAATATTTGTTATTTTCTTTGATGATGATGATGATTCAATTGTCTAGTTGCTGTTGCTGTTTTTATACCACTTAAAATCGACACATCTGGACAGATAGATAGAGACCAAATAGAATTCATTGACATTTCACATTTGACATGACAATCACCACATATAGAATGTGTTTAATGTATTTTGTTTTGACTTTTAGCAATAGCATTTGCCCCTCAACAATAAAGATGTATATAAAAAAAAATTGGAATAAAAGGTTAGGGGTTAATTAAACTCCTGCAACCAAAAAAAAAAAAAACACTTAAACTTCAACAATACAAGTTAAAGTCATCATCATATTCTTAAAAGTCAAAAAAAAAAAAAAAAAAAAATGTCGATGTTTGATGGCTGAAATCAAAAAGAAAAAAAAGGTGATGGTCATTGTAAAAGGGGGGTCGTCCTCTAAAACCATGTAATAAGGTTAGTAAAAAAAAATGTAATTCTTATTGTAGATTGGTAAGTGTAGTTGTTGTTGTTGTTGTTGTCGTTATGGTTCTCTTCTTTATTCAATTCCTTTGTATGTGATAATCAAACAGAAATTTTTTTTTAAAAATTCACTTGTCATGTTGTTTGGTCAGTCAATGTGTGTGCGTATGTGTGTTGAATGTCAATTAAAACATGGATTTCAAAGAAGAAAAAAATTCAATTTTTTTCTTCTCTTCGTTCAATCAAAAAAAAAGTAAAAAAAAAATTGACATCAACCACCATTGTCTCATCATCAACATGTCTCATTCTTGTTTCATATTTTCTCTTCATTTGATACTTGTCAAATCTGCAATGTCCGTTGATGAGAATACTGATGATGATGATGATGATGATGATGATGGACGACTACATCATTTTGTTGTTGTTGTTGTTTTTCTTGATCAAAATAAAAAAAAAGATGACCACAAACATGATGATGATCTATTGATGAACAATGGACATGTATAGAGAATAAAAAAATGTGTAGCCAATCACGTTTTAATCATGATTAAAAAATGATGATGATGACCACCGTATATTAAATGGACAAAAAAAAGAGATTGATATTACACTAACATATCAGCATTAAAATTATGCAATAATAATAATATTGTTTAGGTGGACATTTGATATTTTTGTTTGTTTGTTTGTTTGTGTTTTGTCACATGTCATTCATTTATTCATTTATTCATGCGCAATTTCTTGTCAATAATTAGTGATTTTTTTCTCTTGCAATCCTCTTCTAAAAATGTTTTCATCCTTTTTTTTTTGATTTTCATTCATTCAAATATAAATCTGAATAGATTATCGCATATCGCATAATAATAATAACTATAATTGACCACACATCATATGACAGAGCTACATGGTTAATAATAATAATAATGATGATGATCATGATGATCAAACAATGATTATTGAATATGATGATGATGATGATAAGCACAAAATTCATATCCATATGATAATGTGAATGGCAATCATATCAAATGGAATATTTTCATCAACAACAAATTGAAGAATTTTTTTTTTTCGTTTTGTCTTTGTCCTCAAACACATTTCATCTTTGCCAAAAAAAAAACTGTACAAGTTTTTTTCTCTTCTGTTTGTTTGTTAGTTTGTTTGTTTGTTTGTGTTTCCATAATAATAATGATATGTCAATATAGACAAAAACACATTGCACGACGACGATGATGATGACGACGACGATATAAACAGCCCGACAATGGACAAACAATGGTGATGATGATGATGGAATGACAATCAAATATTTTTTCTTCTTATTTCAAATATTTTGTTTGTGTGTGTGTGTGTGTGTGTATGTGTAAATTGAGAAAGAGAAATGTGAACTTGCTTCACTTGAATAGATGCGGCCACATGTCGCCAAACATCCATCTATTCATCCATCCATCCATCCATCCATTTAACCACACACACACACACACACAATAAGCTTAAATTTTTTTTTTTCGTCATCATAGTTATTCTCTACCTATTCTCTATGATGCTGGTGTTGTTGTTTTTATTTTATTTTTTGTTTCGTTTGGTTTATGGCAATTATTAATCCATCTTTTTTTTGTCAAAAAAAAAAAATTTTTTTCTGTTCACAATCAACCACCAACACAATTGCATTCCATTGTGTGTGTGTATGTATGCACCACACATCATACCTGTGTCGCCGTCGCTTGTTTGTCTCCTGTTTATATTTTTTTTTTACGGATGATTCTTGTTTGTGTTTTTTTTTTTGGTTGCATTTTTGATGTTGTTGTTGTTGTTGTTGTTGATTGTTCAAGTTTATCTATTGGCTTATTATTTTATTGTAGAAAATTTTTTTTTATGAACAAAGAGAACTTTCAAAAAAAAAAAAAATTTACGGCACATACAAAATACCAAATGTCCATTATTCTTACCTGTTTTTTTTCTACTTCTTCTTCTTATTTATTTATTATTGTCCAACCAATCTGTCCACTGTTCACTGTGTGTCCACACACACACACACACATACATTAAATATTGAAATAGACAAAACAAAACAAAATTCAAGCGCCATTCTTTGTCAATGAAAAAAAAATGAAGCTTATTGCTATGTCTATGATTTGATTGCTAAAATGGAATAGTAAGAAAAAAAAGGCGATTCAATGTTATTTCGGTGTGTGATGCTAATGTCGATTGTCTTGTCTTGTCTTGTCTCCATTCTGTTTTTTTTTTTTTTTTTTGAATAATTTTTATTTTTATTGTTATGTTGTTGTTATTCGGTTTCAAGCTTCTGGTTGTTGTTTTGAATCATCCTCAACAATGGATGGATGATTTGCTTGAATTGACAAAATGTGATTGCTATGGTGGTGGTGGCGGTTGGTCATCATTATTTATTTGCGGATTCTTTTTTTTTTTTTTTTGTTTTGTTTTAATTAATCACACTGAGAGAGTTAGGAAAAAAATGGCCTTCGAAATAGTGTCATGAAATGGTTCATTGATTTTTCTAGTGGTTTTTTTTTCTTTTCCACAAAAACTAAACTAAACTAAATCAAATCGAAAAAAGAAATTCTGGTCTTTGAACATTTCAAGATAATGACATTTGTCAACAATAATTATCTGGCATTTATCACACTTATATTCATCACGCATACAAACATGCACACATCAGGAGAAAAAAAAGAGTTGAATTTTGATTAAATAAATGTTTGTCATTGCTGTTATTGCTATTGCTAGCCACCAGTGTTTATTATTTATTTTCCACATTCATTTCTGTGTCGTTCGTTCGTTTGTCCGTTCTTGTGTATGTGTTTTTAGCACTGGACAAATATTTGACCATTCAAATTCACGAATGAAGTGTGGCCACATTTAGGCTTATGGCTTTTTTTTCATTTGGATGAATATTGATGATGATGATGATGATGATGAGATCCAGTTAGATTAAGATATATGTCATCAAATAAATGAATGTATTGTCCCCACCATTATTAACCACTTGACACCCTCCATTACAATATTCAAAGGAAAAAAAGGATTTTTTTTTTCACAAGTGACCGTTCAATCAATGTCTAAACATTTTTTTTAGCCATTCAAGCAAATGAACAACAACAACAACAATCAATCGATCGATAAGATCTCGTTTGTTGGTGCTCTCTCTCTCTCTCTCTCTCTCTCTCTCTCTGTTTCTCTTTCTATTTTTCGGATATGATGACCGATCGATTCCATTAACCGTTTTAATATTAACATTGAATTCATTTTCAGTTCACTTTTCATTTAGAATCTAATTCGAGTATACATACTATATATTTGTGTGTGACATTGTGCGATTTTTTTTTGTCATTGAGACTAAAACCTACTGGACTTTTGTTTTGGATGTTTGTGGATTCAATCAAATATTGACGTTTTTTTTTGGTATTGTTGTTAACTATGTGTATGTGTGCTGTACTGATTATTGCTTGTTAACGCTAGGCAACAACAAAAAAAAACTAATGGCCCGTTATTCAGGCTAGTATGGTCGGTTCAATATCAATGATGATCTAAAAGTGAACAGAAAAGAAAACAAAAAAGCAAATGAATTCATGATTCTGAATCAGTGGCAGCCGGTCATCATTATTGTTAACAACAACAACAACAAACGATGAACAAATGATGTTTAGATAACAACAACAACAACAACAACAACTCTTGCATACCATTTTTTTTCTTGCTTTTCTGAAGTTATATTTATTTGCGAAAAAAAAATTGGCAAAGAATCTTAATTTATTTAACACATTAACGCTCTGCCAAAAGTTGTCTGACTATATTGACCATCAAATATAACGACAACAACAACAAAAACAACAATACATTTGGGAAATTAGTGGCATTCGACATCAACATCAATAACAAAATACACAACTGGACAACAGAAAATGGACATTTATTAATTAGCTTTACTCACAATATTCAACAAAAAAACAACAATAGTAAATAATGGCCAAATGATGCCTTCGAGAGAAAAAAATCGACAAAAAAAGAAAAAAAAGAAAAACGGAAAAACACACAGAGGACCAGTGAATGGGTTAATACATATGTGTGTGTGTGTGTGGATGTAATCGGGTACGTTACCCGGGTATTTTTTTCATTCAATTTCTGAATGATGACATTAATAATGACACAATAAAGTATGTGGTAGCTGAAGTGTACATCATCATATTATATACATTCAACGTTTGACCAAAATAGATGAAATAGATTTTTTTTTTTTTGGTCCGATCTTTTTGTTGCCCTTTTTGAATGATAATGAATAATTCAACATTCAAGATTTGGCATTTTATTCATAGAGTGCTTGCAAATAAACACACACACACACACACACACACACACAGCGAGTTAGAGAAAGAGAGAGAAAACGTCAAGATTTTTTTTTTTTTTTTTTGGATCAAAGTAAAAAGTTACCTAATCATAATGGTAAATTTTGCCAGAAATAAAAACTCTATGCTGTTGTTGTTGTTGTTGTTGGATCCATAAAATATAATGGTCATTTGTGTTGTTATTATTATTTTTTTGCACACCTTATCTATCCATAGATTTTGTTTATGTTGTTGTTGTTCTAGTTTCATTTTTTTTACCTCTGATTTAGATTTCAATTATATGTGTATTCGTTATGTGGGTTCGGACAATTGGCGATTTTTTATATTTCGTTTGTGGTGAAAATCTTTTTTTTTCTTTTTGTGTTTTATACGTGTGAGTGTGTGTGTTTGCGCCTTATATATGGGCTTGTTTTTTCATTATAATGTTGATGATGATGGTCGAGAGATGACCAAAGCAATGAATCCGTTATTTTTTTTTTTTTTTTTAGGTAATTATGATTATTTAACACATTGGTGATTGTTGTTGGCTACTATTTACGATGTACTCAATGGTTTGTGTGTGTATGTATGTATATGTGACATCCTTAGCCCGTATTTATATGCTTCTTTAGTTTTATATCTGAATGGCAATTTAATTAACATTTTTTTCTGATGTTAATGGTGGTGTTGGTGGTGATGGTGATGATAGGGTCATAAACAACAACGATGATAATGTTGGTTGATTGGTTGTTGTTGTAGTACTTGTATTTTTGGCCATTATCATCATGGATAACAATTTAATGACTTTTGATTATCTCTCTGATGTGTGTATGTATGCCATTGTGGCCACCAATATCATCGTCTCTTTCTCGATCTCTGGTGTGTACATATAAGATTTAACTACATTCGTTGGATCTGGTCGGCTTTTTTTTCGTTTTCATTTCTCAATCTCGAGAGAGAGAGAGAGAAAGAGAGGATTTTGACTCTGATTTCATTGATGAAAATCACACCAGATGTACAGATTTTTTTTCCGTTTTTTTCATTATAAACAAAAAAAAACATACACACGAATTTGGTTATCAAACAAACAAAAAAAGAAGAAGAAAAAGAGTGAAAAACAAAACAGTCATTGACATCAGTCAAGAATTGTGTCTCATAATAATCAAAATCATAATCATAATCATCGTGACGATTATGATTCTTTTGACTTTTATATGTTATATAGATGCATCTATTAATATTTAGTCGGAACAAAATATGTAATGTATGTGTGTATGATTTAAATGAAAAAAAAAAAAGAAAAAGAAAAACATTATTTATATGCGGTAGCGTCTCAAACGCATACATACACACACACACACACACACACATTGTGATTATGGTCCATCGAATTGTTGTGTACGATTTTTATGATCTTTTCTCCTCTCCATCTTTCAATGTTTGTGATGATGATGATGATGATGATTCTTGTGATGTTTTGCCGACATTTTTTTTTATATTTGACATTTACATATTCACAATGCTTTTGTGAATATGGGTATTCTATCGAATTTTTTTTTTTTTTTTTTGGTGTTTTGGTGAAAAAAAATTCACCATTTTTGAATGAAAATGTTCATATATATGGTTTTTTGGATGTTAACCCCTTTATTTTCTAAACAACAAACAATAATCAATTTTGAATGTGTGATCCATTCAATGATGATGTGACCCATTCATATAAACGAAGGTAAAAGGTCAAGTTAGTTATTTGAACAAAATGAACAACAAAAAAAAATTTCAAATTAGTGGAAAACAAAAAATACTAAGGACCACATCCCTTGTGAATTACGATTGTTTGATTGTTGATTGATTGTGTCCAATAAGAAGGTCCAGAGAAAAAAAGCTGAAATGGTAGAATAAAATGAGTTGAACAAAAAATAATGAAATAAAAAAAATAAAATAAATCGACTTGTTTTATGTTGGTAACCATCATAAGCATCATCAGCATCATCATCAAAACATACGTTTGAAATTGATGCGGCTGCTGCTGCTGCTGTTGGCCCAGATAATTCTCTGGCCATCTCATCAATACCATATTCGTGTGTGTGTGTGTGTGTGTGTGTATATATGACGATCTTATGTAATGTTCTGGGAATGTTTCCATTACTTATATTCAGGCACACACACACACACACACACACACACACACACACACACACACACACACACACACACACACACACACACATTACCCATTTCCCATTGTCTCTTTCTTTATTCATATGAATGTGCGATAGATTGTTCCTTTGTTGGATCGATCGGTTTTTTTTGAATGCGTGTGTATGTGTTTACATTCAAATAGGCATTCAAAGACACAATTGTTGTTGCTGTTGTTGTTAATGTAATTCTAACGCATCAATTATGGATATCATCATCATAGATGGTCAAGTCATTCATTCATTCATTCATTCATTCATGCATTTATTCCATTGATATAGTGATCAAAATCAAATTTTTTTTTCTTCACGCACACACTCATACACACACACACACACACAAATATTTGATCTTATCCAAGTTGTGATGATGGTCATTTGGATTCAAAATTATCATTATTATTGTCGTATATTGAATTATTGATAACAACAACAACAACAACAACAATAAAAATAATAATAAATGATGATGATGACCACAAAGAGCAATCCTTTTGATTAGATTTTTTTTCTTCATCATTATTATTTTTATATTTAAACATTAACACTTTGAACACCATAATATATGTTTCATGATGTGGTTTATGGTTTTTAATCAATGTATTGTTTTGTTTTGTTTCGTTAATATGATTAGGTGCTACGTTGTTCAACACCAAATTGTCTTTGTGAATGTTTTACACCAGGAAAACCATTGATGCGTCATTGTGCACATTGTAATCATGGTTGGATAGCACATGGTAAGTTTGTTTTTTCTTGATATCAAAAAAAAAAAAAATATAAATTCTTTTCCGTTATTCTAATGGTTGGTCATCATCATCATCTTAGTAGATGACCATCAGACACATATATTGAATGAAATTCTTAGTGGAAAAAAAACACCTTATGATGTTGGTAGAATATAATATGTAATATGATGGTTAGATGATTATCACTGAGGATGCCAAAAAGAAAAAAAAATATTCAAAACCTTTTTGTTTATTTGTTTGTTTGTTATTGCCGTTATCGTTATTGTTTCTTTTTTTTTATTTTTCTCTATTCACTTTTTTCGTTGATTCACATTTCGTGATGTAATCATCATCACCATCATCCAATGGTGTTGTTGTTCATTGATCTGTATGGTCTGTATAGCCATGTGATGGATATATCCGATAAATCATTGATGGAATTGAGTGTGTGTGTGTGTGTGTGTGTTTGAGGAAATTTTCATTTGAATTTTCATTGCTGCAAACTTTATGATAGTACGTTGCATTTTTTTTTTGTTTCTAGTAAAATATCGATTTAAATTCAATGTTTGGTTTCGTTTGGTAAAGTATGAAAAAGATGTGTGTAGAAGATAAATAGTGGCAATGAATCGATATGTAAGATAATAGATAGAATACAGAGACAATTGGCAATGATGATGGTCAATGACTATCACTATTGATATATTTTGGGATTGATGATTGAAATGGAAATTTTGAGGAGTAAAAAAAAAAAAAGTCAAATATACAACAACAACAACAACAAAGGAAAATTCCAACATCCAGATAATAAATACCGTAGATGGGGTGAATTTTTTTTATTTTTGTAAAATTTTCAAAATTTATGAAAAATTTCCATCATCATGATTCTTTTTCTTTTGGTGTATGATGTTTGTGTGTGTGATTAATATGCCTTTTATGTTAATCGGACAATGCCAGATATTTTGCCATTTTTTGTTGCTGTTGTTGTTGTTGCCTGTATCATCTGGTTTCATCGGGAATCATGATGATGTTTTTTGTTGGAACTTTTTTTTTTTTTGCTGGAACCCAGTGAATGAATGAGTTTTGGTGATTTTCCCCTTTTTTTTCATCTTCAGTGTGTATGTGTATTTTTTGTTATCAAAATGATTCACGAATGAAAAAAAAAATCGAACAAATTATTATTATTATTGGCTGTGGCAAAAAATCCTATTTTTGGGTAACTGACAATTTTTCTTGTGATTCAGTTATCTTCTGTATATGTGAATGAAAAAAAATTGAATCAGTAAAATGATGATGATTATGATGGCAGGCAGGCAGGCAGGCAGTCATACACACATGCATGCATGCATGCACAATTCATACAGGCAGGATACAAAAAAAAAAGATGACAACCTAAATTGTCCACTTGGGATAATCACTTATTCATCCACTCTCTCTCTCTCTCTCTCTCTCATTTTTTTTTATTATTCACGTTTACCATAATCATCATCATAATAAGTCAAAAGAGAATGTAAAGCCCGAATAATTCATGACAACATATAAGTGGGCATTCTTTATTTTGTTTTATACAATACTTTGCATTGACTTTAAATTGAACACACACACACACACACATACTTATCCATATCTTATCCATTCATTGCAGAGAAAAAGAGAGAAACTGCTGCTACTGTGTGTGTGTGTGTGTGTGTGTGTGTGTGTGAAATGAATATAATGGAACCCAATTTGTCATTCAAAAGTGTAATGTTTGTTTGCCTCGTGTGTTTTCTATACACACACACACACCGATATCAGGCTATTATGTAATACAGAATATTCTGCCTACTAGCTACTACTTACTATACCTACTACGTGTGTAATTTGGACACGTGCTCGATTACTACGACCATTACAACATTTATTTTTTTTCCTCTTCTATACCATGTCAATTAATCACAAATTAATTTAATAAAAATACACGCAATAATAGTATGATGATGCAATAGGAAAAAAAATTATGAAAATTGTGACTGTTATTCAAACAAATCTACATCATCATCATCTCACCAATCTTATTATCATCATTTCTGGTTATTTTTATTATTGGTTATTTGTTTTTTTATTCATTCGGTCACGTTCTTGTTTCTGGATCGAAAATCGATTTTTTTTTTTTTTTTTGGTTCTTTTTTCCACTCTCAATATTGAATATTCTGCCAATGTGTAGCGAAAAAGGTAATATTCAAAATAATCATTTTTTTGTGTCGTTTGGTCGATGATGATGGAATCTCTAGAGGACACTTTTGCATAAATATTGACAACTTATATATATGAATGTCGGTTGACAGCTGAATGATGATGATGGAAAAAATGGCCTCAATTTAGCATCGTTATCATTATTTATTTATTTATTTATTGATTAATCCATCCACCATATTTTTCCAGTAAATTTAATTCTCGCAAAAAAATGAATAAAACCAGAAAAAAATGATTCACAAATTAATGAATGAAAATATAACTAATGTGTGTCACACAACAACGAATAAAATAGCCAATTGAATTGTAAAACCTGGCTTCTGGCTAACCTTGGTTGATTGAATTTTTTTTGATTCACATTCTACAATTGTCAATATGTCAAATGGGTGTGTATGTATGTGTGTGTGTGTGTGTGTGTGTGCATCTGGTGGGATGTTAAATGACAAATGTGGTGACATTTATCTTTGTCATTTTCACTGTCTGGATTTTATTTTTTAAATTCTCTCTGTCCGTATTTATTATATTAGTTTTATTATACAAAAAACAGATCAGCCACTACATTGGTGTCCTTGTGTGTGTGTGTGTGTGTGTACATTGCAATCAATCTAACACTATGGCATGACATTTTTTCCAATTTATTCTTTGTTTTATAATAGGAGCCAGTAAATAGGGAGATAAAAAAAAGGAAAGAATATCGTTGAATGGCTATACTTTTTTTTGTTTTGTTGCTTCGAATTTTATAATTGAAAATGAACAAAAAATCCACATTCTTTGTGTGTGTGTGTGAGTGGATAGATTTGATAGTCGGATGTTCTTGTCATCATCATCATCGTTTATCTGGTTCTTCATGATTCTACTTCGTTTTTTTTATGTTCGTATCAATAAGTTATAAATTACTCAACATCATCATCATATCATCATCTTTATTCTTCATTGTCGTCTCGAACCATTAGACAAATCAAAAAGAATTAAGTAGAAAGATAGAGAGCGTGGAAGAAAAAGAAAGAAAGAAAAAAAAAAGCTAATAATTCATAATTATAATGAAAAATCTCGCTGCAAACAACACACACACACACACACAGATAGATAGATTTTTTTGAAATTGATTCTTCGTCTTCATAATGATGATGATGCGACAACAGTGAAAAAAACAGAGACAGAGATAGGGCAGATATACTTGGAAAAAGAGTCAGGTCAGGCCCTACAATCAAAAAATCAAATCAAGCAAAAAGTGAGATAGATAGAGATACACACACGACATGATGTTCAGACGCGTGCTACTTTTTATGCCTAATATTTTGTGTGTGTGTGTGTGTATGTGATATGTAATATGTCCACATACACACACAGACATACAGAATACATGAACAAATTGATGCGGCGTGTGCCAACCAAACTAAAATATATATAATGGAATCTAAACTGATATGTCTCTGTATATGGTATTTTGAAGATGACGACGGTGTGTCCAAATTGGTCCTGTTTTATGTCTAATTTTTTTTCTGGCATTTTTTTCCACTCTTTTTGATTGTTTCTGGTTTGATGTGACTTGATTTTGTGACTTTTGAATTTCATAGAATTTTTAGGTTGAAAAAAGACACCAAAAAAAAATATTTGTGTGTGCGTGTGTTTGCATGTTGTAGAATGTGATGGAAAATGGAATGAAGAATTTTTTTTCAGAAAAAAAAATTAAATCAAGTCATAATGATTTTTCCTAACATCCGGTAATGACATTCTCTCTCTCGCTCTCTGGCTCTGGATGTTTTGAATTTTTATTTTTAGTACAACATTAAAAGCCAATAATGTCCAATAAGAATAATAATAATAAACTGAAACTGAAATTTAACCCCCTGCTTTCCCCTGAAATTCTTGTTATTTCCATTCAACATGTCGTATAGCTAGAGAAAAAGAGAGTGAAAGTCGATTTTTTTTTACATTTGATTTGATAAATTCAAGATGCTCATTCATTCATTGATGATGCCATCTCCCTTGGTGTCTGTGTGTGTGTGCAATTTGTATGATGAAATGAAATAAATTGTTTATTAAGAGAGAAACAGTCACCATTACCACCACGCAAATATAAACAAAAATCTAGAGAATTTTAAAATGATTTGAAACCAAAAAAAAAAAAAAATTGGTTGCATGCCTGCTGCTGCTGCTGTTTGTAAATGTCGTTGTCGTCGTTTTTTTTTGGCTTTCTTTTACAATCAAATGAATGGCTCCACATGTATTAATAATAGTTAACCACTCTCTTTCTCCCTCCACTTCCCCCCTCCCACTGTATAAACATTAAATCCGATGACAGAAAAAAAATGAGAAATTCTTGTTATTATTATTTGGTTGTGATGATAACTTGTGGCTTTTTTTTTTGCTTCTGTTGCTGTTGTTGTTGTTGTTGTGACTAGGACGACGACGTCGACGACGACGACGACGACGATTCTTGTAAAAGAATTTTTGTAATGAATTTTTTTTTTCGTTCCTGGCATGAATTCTTCCAGAATAAGTAATGAAGACACACACACACACACATCAGTCATTATTCTAGGCAATACATCATTTGATCAAATCACAATTGACGTTAATTCATTTATTTTTTCATCTGAATTAGTTGACAAACCAAATAATTTTGGTTTAAAGATTGAACAAAAAAAAATTTTATTTGTTTTAGTGGTAATGTGCTGTGTGTGGTGTGTGTGTATGCGTTTTTTTTTGTACGGAATTTAGTGTATATATTATCAAACACATATTGATTTATGTTATGTTTGTCTTAATCAAAAAAAAAA